CTGCCCTGAACAACAGCTGCCCTGAACAACAGCTGCCCCGAACAACAGCTGCCCCGAACAACAGCTGCCCAGAACAACATCTGCCCTGAACAACAGCTGCCCAGAACAACATCTGCCCTGAACAACATCTGCCCTGAACAACAGCTGCCCTGAACAACAGGAGAGAGTTAGATCTTTCTGTGGTTGGAGGCGCCGGTGGTGAAGAAGCTAACCACGATTCAGATGAATCTCCCTGGGGGACGAGTCAGGAGATGACAGAGCCAATCCCAGATGTGCCACAGCACAGCTGGGATTGGCTCTGTCATCAGTTTATTTATAAAGCACCAAATCACAACAAAGTTGTCTCAGGGACTTTACAGGAACATTCACATAAAAGCCAGTTAGTAAAGTTCTCTATCTAAGGAATCCAGCAGATAAGTTGAATCTTGGCTTCGTTGCAGTCTCTCATCCTGAGCAAACACAGTGGAGACAGTGGAAAGAAAAACTCCCTTTAACAGGAAGAAACCTCCAGCAGAACCAGCTCAGGACAAGAGACCATCTGCTTTGACCGGCTGGTTGAGAGGACAGGAAGGAGAGACAGACAAACACAGAATGGTAGGTCCAGGTATAGGTCCAGGTCCAGATATAGGTCCAGGTCTAGATATAGGTCCAGATCCAGATATAGGTCCAGGTATAGGTCCAGGTCCAGATATAGGTCCAGGTATAGGTCCAGGTCCAGATATAGGTCGAGGTCCAGATATAGGTTCAGGTCCAGATATAGGTCCAGGTCCAGATATAGGTCCAGGTGTATCTGAAAGACAAACACATGTTAATGATAGAAAAAATAATTACAAATACAAAACAGGTTGAGCAGAGTAAGTAAAGAAGCAGCAGAGTGAAAACTGTGGTCAGTTCATCCTCCAGCAGTCTAAGCCTATAGCAACATAACTAAGGGACAGCTCAGGAAACCCAAGCTGACCCTAACTATAGGATTTATCAAAAAGGAAAGTCTTAAGTCTAGTTTTAAAACTGGATAATGTGTCAACCTCACGGACAGAGATTGGAAGTTGGTTCCACAAGAGAGGAGCCTGAGAACTGAAAGATCTTCCTCCCATTCTGGTTTTGGAAACTCTAGGAACCACAAGTAAACCTGCAGCCTGAGAGCGAAGTGCTCTGTTAGTAAAATTTGGAACAATAAGATCTGTAATATAAGATGGAGCTAGGTTGTTGAGAGCTTTGTAGGTTAGAAGTAAGATCTTGAATTCTATTCTGGATTTGACAGGGAGCCAATGGAGAGAAGCTAAAACTGGAGAAATGTGATCTCTCCCAGTAACTCCAGTTAAGACTCTGGCAGCAGCATTTTGGATCAATTGAAGACGTTTTAAAGAAGTATTTAGACACCCAGATAATAAACCATTGCAATAGTCCAGTCTAGACGTGACAAATGCATGGACCAGTTTTTCTGCATCATCTTTACATCAGATGTTTCTAATGTTAGTGATATTACGCAGGTGGAAGAAGGAGGTTCTAGTAACGTTTTTAATGTGGGGGATAAAAGACATGTCCTGATCAAAAATAACACCAAGATTTTTAACATTAGAGCTGGAAGACAGATTAATGCATCTAAGGAGGGAGAAAGACTGAAACATTCATTCCTAAGGTGCTCAGGTCCAAAAACCAAAACCTCAGTCTTGTCTGTGTTCAACAGGAGAAAATGAATGGTAATCCAGGTTTTTATGTCTTTAAGACATGCTTGTAGTCTAAGTAGCTGATTGGATTCATTGGGTTTAATGGACAAATATAATTGTGTGTCATCAGCATAACAATGAACATTTATCCCATGCTGTTTATATTTTTGAGGTCAATAAACTGTTAAAAGATCTTGGTCCTAAAAAATCTGCAGGTCCAGATGAACTTCCACCTTATTTCTTAAGGCTGGCTGCTCATATCATCACAGTCCCTGTGACCCACATCTTCAATCTCTCCATAAGACAAAACTCCATCCAGACACTTGGAAACAGCCTTTGGTCTTCCTTTGCTGAAGGGAGGAGACCCCACCTCACTGAACAACTATCGACCAATCTCTAAACTCTGCATTTTAGCCAAGGTTCTAGAAAAACTGATAAACTCT